AAATTTATGTTTTTTTTTGTCGTAAAACATTACACTATGTTAGTATAATGATTTTACAGTTGGATAAATAAAAAAAACTTATTCTAATACAAACACGTATATTACATTTATTCATTGAATTCAATTTAAAACCCAGCACAAAAATAATGAAATAATGTATATTATTTGTCTCACATTTACATCAACAAGAAAACATTTTCTTGAGAAGTGTAGGAAAAAATGTTTATATAATCACTATTTAACGAACAAAAAAGGTATATGCAATGAAATTCGTCAAAAAAATATGAGTTTAAGGTGTCTATAGAAGATATTGACTTTTTGGTTAAATATCTATTGTAGGTAGTTGCCACGAGAGAAGGGCCTGTACAGATACCAAAACGTGTTACTCCTGTTTACTTTTATCTGCACAGGTGCGTACGTGAGTAATGCGTTTTATTTTCTGGCCCGTTCTCTTATGGGACATGTTAGATTAAATTACAATACATGAAACTATGCGAAATAAATAGCTAACCTATTAAACAGCACACGACTGCAATAGAAAAATAAGTCTGTCTTAAAATATAATGATTATCAAATTTTATTTGTGGCTAATTATTATATATAAAATATAAAGGTATATAATTAATATAAAATATTTACTTGATACTTATTGATACTTAATATTTTGGGAACCCTAAAAAACGATTGTTTTAAAGGTAAAAATGACATCAATTTAGTCTTAACATCCGAAAAAATAAATTTTAACACTCTGGATAGTAAGAATACAGCGACTGTTTATAAAAATATATTTTAAAACAAAACGTCATACTTGTCAAATATCTTTAAATTTAGCGTAAACACATTAATTGTAAAAAGTATGAATTTTGCTTTTAACAATGAACACAAGCATGACAATCAAGTGGTGGTCACTTATACCAAATAAGCAAACGACTAAATTATTATTAAAACACGATTGACCAAATCTACCAGTTCGGAACGAAAAGTAGGTGTATATTGATAATTAAATACAAAAACGTTCAATAGTTTTTAGAAATAACGACACTATACGTATATTTATGTTAAAGCCGGCCATACGAGCATCACATAACATTAAGAAACTAAAATTAAGATTATTTTCAATTCAGTGTTTAGATTTTATTACTCAAGAATACCGTTTAATACCGCAACGGCCGTTCATCAAGATTTTCAACTCGGTTTTCTGGATAGCATCATTCTGTTGTATAACTATTTATAAAAATATCAATGTTCGCTTAATTCTAACGAGAAACAATAAATAATAAAGTAGCAAAGTCACCCTCGGACTCTGTTAAGTACCAAATATAAGAGAGACTTTCGAAATGAAAAATGTAGTACGCGGATAAAGTTCATAAATATGACATTTAAAAGCCCCTGGACAATTATATACCGTCCAGAGATGTATAAGCCACAAACCCGTATTGTAAGCGCTGTACTATATATATATGTATATATATTTAATTTTAAATTGTAATTGGATGTATATATAGAATTACTTATTATTATCTATATTATTACTTACTATATACACTACACTAATTAGTGTACCCTTTTTTTTCAAAACGAATAAAGCTAATGTTACCTTTGCAGAGCTCTTGGTACAATTTCCAAAATAAAATTATGGGTACTTACTGAAAATTGTCATTTGAGAATCAAAAGTACTTTTACTTTACTACCTTTTTAGTATCCTATAAAAACTGAACTATTTCGTTCTATGATCATCTTCAGTGTAGCTATACAACAAACTTTTAATTTTATATACAAGAACTAGAATAGAATAATAATAATAATGATAATAAAAACATTTTTATGATAACCCTGCTATTTCAGAATACATTTCAACAATACTCTAGTAGGCGCGTTTTGATCGAGCTTGGATTTTGTATAAAGAAAAAAAACTTTTAATAATTTTTCAAATGCATTAAACTTAAGTAATTATTGCAATAATTATTTGACAACAAAACGATCATATAAACCGCGTTAAAGTTACGATTTTATTGAGTCCTCATACAACTCTTAAAAGAAAAAAAACATTAATATTAAAGGATCGCTTTTATTGTTTATCTTAATTATAATTGCAGTCGTTAAAATAAAGGATCAGTTTATGTATATCTGCATTAGCACTGTATAATATTATGCATAATAACGTTATAAAAACCGCACAGATAAAATTATTTATAACCAATAGAAAAGGGTCGTACTGTACCACGTGCCGTCACTCGTCAATAAAATATTTATATTTATGATTTGAATGTTTTATAGGTTTATTTTTTAAAATTATACAATTTTTTAGAGGACGCTATGAGCAAAATGTCAAGCATAAAACCGAATTGATTATAATTGGTGCCCAAGTGATTTTCAAGTGAAAACCTATTTGACAAGCAACGTCGGAAATATTGGAGAGATTCGATTGAAAATTTTAGTCAACTACAGATATTTTAATACTAAATGATTTTAATACTTGATAAAAAATAATAATTATCTTTCACTGGGCGTTTTCGACAAAAATGTAATTCTACGAAATATGTTTTGTGTGTCTTAAAAAGCAAATTTCGTTTAACTCGCTTTCAAAAGCTGCAAAGGGACATGCAAATCACTTACAGCGAGATTGCCCCGAAAGGTCTGAAATTCAAATTCAAATACACAATATGCCGACTAAACAATATTATAATACTCTGAACAACAGTTAGCGTACTATATTATTTAACGTTCTGCCCGGAAATTCAGACGTGTTCTAAATAAACTATTGAAAACATTATTTTAAAACAACATCCTATAACCGTCTAGATTGGTACGAGCAGTTTGACTTCTCGCTATTCAAAATGCCTGAGATGGAAATGGTATGTTCGTTTCGAGGAACCCGCAAAATTGACAGTTAAGTGGGAACGATTACTATTCCAAGAAATGCATGTTAATAATTGAGAACGTTGCAGAACTTTGCAGGAGTTTGGCGTACCCGTGAACAGTAAAAGCAAGCGAGCTACGAAAAGGTAGAAACTTCTATTGTATTATTTGCAAAAGCCCATTAAAGTCTAATTACGGATGTTACAAAATCATAGACGACCTACTGCAGAGATTTCATTATTTAGATAACTTAAGCTGGTGCATAAACGTGCAACAAACAGTGTACATAATTGTCGAGTTTAATATGTGATCTAAAAAAAAAAAAAGATTTTAAGCAAAGGCCAAAAAAAAATCGTTAGCACCGAAGACGAATAATATTGCGAATAAATGATTTGGACTATTGACATTTAGATTCGGATCGAGATGATAAAATAGCCAATTGACGAGCCGTAGGAACTAAAATGAAAATCATTAATGTATAACGCCGCCAACGAAAGCAAAATAAACCCATTTACTGTTTAAGTGAATTATTATAGCGAACCATTGTGATTTTCTGTGTAAACGCCGTTGTATATTATATTGTATTGCATTCCAATCTAAAACGAGCGGCTACACGTAACAATAGAGCTATTTAAAGTTAATGTAGGATCGTCAGAGAAATAAGTTGCTGGAGTAACACAGTGCAAAACAAATAAGCGACGAGATTGAGAATCATTGCGCCGTTTTCACTCTCAAACTTTAAATTGCTATAGTTAACGAATCGTTTGTTCGAAATGGCATTGTTAAGTACACGAGTTCTTGGCCAAACGACGTTTGTATAAACTCGAATGCTCTAAAACGATCCGTATGGCAAAAAACTGACCTTGCTTATATTATTAATGCACACACGGATGACTTTTCCCATTATTTCGTTTGTCAGGACTACCAGAGAATATAGAGAGAGAGGGAGAATAATATTTGTACTTAAAACATTTATTGGTAAATTAATAATATACATAATGTAACCGGAGCAGTGCTATGTAACAACGCACAACACAATGTACAATAATTGTACATGTTGGCGATAATAAAGCATGGGCGTTAGATAATAATAACTAAAAGACGACTAATTTTAACACAACTTGATTCATTAACTCGAGTTTTATAGATACTTCAACAAATCATCATACTTGGTTAGGAAAAAGTACCGTCTAGTTATAATAATAATTACTATACAGTTATCTTATAGATAGGTATCTTATACTTGAGATACTGAAAACGCAAATAGAAACTGTTTTTATTTATTAACACTCGTAAAATAAATGCTCTAAGTAATTTAAGCTTCAGTTTGATTATTTTAATATCTCTTCGCCTTAGCCCATACAAACGGGGTAGGCGAGCCACGCATTACCTCTCACCATCACAATCACTCTTCCCGTATATTTTCCTTTTTTTCGGTCACTATCCTTTTCTTACTGTTTTTTTTTTTTTAACTATTCTATACCGTCTAAATGTCAATCACGAATCAAAGCTACCTAGTATGTAATGTATACTTTTCAAAACTACTTTTGGACTACTTGTAACAGCTACTCATAGCTGTAATTGCAACGGTGAGAAATGCAACAAAAGCAAAGATCTACATATAATTTATGGGGTATTCCGGTTTGGCGTCGGGTCAAGGATAAAGGGTGGTAGGTGCCTGTGGGGAGACCTAGAGATCCGATACACCGATTTTCGAGGGTACCGCAATAAATATTACTTCCGTCCGGAATATCAAATTGAGAATTCCACAGCGGCGAATATAATACAATTTTTTTTTCACACAAGTGCTGTGTAACATCGATGACATAAAGTCGTGTATGCGTGGTATCTTTTTTTCTCTCTCGTACATATTTTAACAAGTCCTTAACGAAAAAAAAAAAGTAAAAGTTTCTCGGCGTTATAATACATGTATTTTGTTTCATTTCTTATTTCTTTTTGCCGCCGCCGAAACTTTACTTTTATGCGGCACTCGCCATCGATAACATCGTCGAGAATTATTTATCGAAGTGATTTTTTTTATACAACAAAAAAAATAAACCACTCTCTTTCGTTTTTTTTTTGTTTTACTTAGCACGTACACGCGATATCAAAGAGTAATTTATTATTATTTTGTTTTACAGCTAGTGCTCGTCACGGAAACGGTCGAAGCGTCCGTGTCGTCGTGGACCAACTTGGCGACTCCGGTCACCCATGTAAACACATCTTATATGGACGACGTAAGTATACCTAATTGATTTGACCCTTTGCGTTCAGAGCCACCCCCTCGGTTCGCACGGTAGGTTAGGTTCGCCTTTGTCCAGTTGCACGGACTTAATTATTCTCCGGTTGTTATGCTATTAGTTTGTTTCGTTTGCCACGAGCAAAACGAGGTGTTATGATCTAGTGAATTTTAAAAGGGTAGTCAAGTGTTTAATAATAAATGGCGCGGTATCAGGTGGTCTGGCAAGAATTGGCTTTCCATCAAGATGGCATTCGAAGCGGTAGTACGGCGACTCGTGTAGGCAATTCGCGTACACCGCCGAGTAGTTGACCGCTCGTTTGCAGAACGTCACTTAAGACCCAAGTTCAACTCGTCCCGGGTCAAATAATCGATTTTTCACAATACTTTGGCAACGGCCTTTGGTAAACTTCACCGTCTCAAGTGGGAATTCAATTTATTTCTAGGTCGACAAATCTAAACACTCTCCGTGCATAAGATAACGTGTTCATTGGGTGTACAAAGTGAACAGTATTTTAAATCGAACTACTTGAATTCTAATAGGTACTCGAGGAACCGGGTGGAATAAATAAATTTACTTTGATAAGTTTTTTCGCAAACTTCAAAACTTTCAGTGACATTTTACATTTTTTCTTTGATAATCTAAAAAACGTCTTATCTTGCCGACATCATTAGGTTTATTTGTGCTCACTGGGTTTTGTTTACCGCCATTTGAGGAAATAATTTGTTTGTCCCTCGAAATCTCAATAGTTTATCTGATTGCCGACATATTCAAAAATAATTAAGCGTACATTGTTTTAGTATGAAAATTCGTGGTCTCCGTGGTCCGAATGGTCGTCATGTTCAAGAACATGTGACGGAGGGGCAATGTACCAGCTACGAAGGTGCAACGCAGTATCTGGCTGCAAAGGACACCATGTCCGATACAAAATATGTAACATGGAGGTATGTTCTATTATAATTTATTTACAATGTAAAAACTATGTAAAAAAAAATGAATGTACTACGACGTATTCGTTTAACTACGGACCTTAATAACTAAAAACGTATTGCCTAAAATAGATAAAAGGTCCAAAAATTCTGTCTAAGTTTTCTTCCACGGCGTATAAAACTACACTATTATTAGCTGTACTAATATGAATAGTTTTAAAATATATCCTATTGAATAGCTATTGAAAACACATTATGTGTACACATATTTTCTCGTTGGCTGCTTAATCAAAATATATTATATGGGGTGTCTCACGTTGTTCTGATAGTTTTACATTAAAATGTATTTGAATTTATCAAAACACAGTGTGGAGCGTAACGGCATTCCTCTATCGCGCTATTTAAATGTCAATAACAGATTTTTTGGTTTTTTTACATTTTGTATTCGAGAGCGATCTTTGAACTACGCTGTGGGACTTGTATGCTTACAAAATATGAATTTCATATTTCATTCTAAATCGCTCTCTGTTTATTTGTCGTGCGTCTCGGCCAGCTGTTTCAAAACGTCAAAAGCAAAAAAAAAACAACAAGAATTGAATTTCTGTTTCGTGAAAATTGTACGGTTTAGTTTGACGCGAATTTTTGGTTGTATTTGTTTCGTTTTCATTAAAAAAAAGAATTAAGTATAATAAATATATAATTAATTATAATAATAATTACATTATTATACTATACAAAATATAATGTAAACAATATATAATGACTGTCTCCGTAAGCTAAGCTTATTGTGTAGACAACAGTTTAGTTCCATACTATAAATGTATGTTATAACTTATAATATATATATATATATATATATATATTGCGTTAGAGGTATAATGTAAATGCAGTATTGAATTTGAAATTAAATATTAGTAACTTAAGATGTTGAAAATTAAATTTTGTCACATATATTATATTTTATAAAATATTGATTTTATTTTAGCCATGCCCCGACGGCACCGATTTCCGTGCCGCTCAGTGTTCGGCGTACAACGATCAGCCGTACGACGGTGAACTGGTGGAATGGCATCCGTACTACGACGAGGAGAGCCCGTGCACGCTCATGTGTGTCGACTCCAAGGGACGTGTAGAAGAAATGGCCCCTAGGGTCCGCGACGGCACCAGGTGCAGACTGGGTTCGCTGGACATGTGCATAGACGGCGTATGCCAGGTAATCGTTTAGGTTCTATACACCTATCGTTTTGTCATGATTAATCCGTTTGATACTACACGGTTGGATTTGCAGCCTTTATTCAGGCCGAAACTTCATATTAGAACCGAAATTCTATAAGTTCTCTGTTTGACGAGTCATTTTCATTAAGTTTCCCAACTTCTTGATCTCGAGCACACAGTCTATATAAAAACATTTTAGTTCTTCATCGTATTTACAAGCCGTCGACCGTTGCACAATTTTAAAATTATTTTCAGTTAATTAATTATCTCTATTTGCTGCCCCTGTGCAGTAACTCGATAAAATGTACCTGCCCGTCGGAGGCGCGATTGTTGTAGCACGTGTATAATTATATTGTACGTTATTCGATTTTGCAGAGAGTCGGATGCAACTTGGAAATCGGATCTAAGGCCAGCGTGGACGAGTGCGGCGTATGCGGCGGAGACGGCTCTTCGTGTTCAAAAGATCTGTTCCGGTGGGGCAAGATGGGAACCGGTTGTTCGGTGTCTTGCGGCGGAGGTAAGCATCGGTATCGTTTCTCAGCTTTTTCTCGACGGCCAAACTACGTCCAAGCCCTCGGCCCGAAAGTCCATCTACAAACAATAATCATAATAACTGCGGCGGCGGACTTAACGCAATAACGCTCTGTGCAACGATTTTTGACCGCGGCCTCCAAACACTGACAATGATAGAACGTTTTAATCAATTGTAACGTAACGCAGTGCGCTCACTTGGCGGTTGTCTCTCTTATCGCCCATTTGACCGTAATGTGATTAATGGTTTCCAACAACCCGGCGCGAGTCGTCCGCAGTTGTACCGTATGACTACATTTTTATTTTATTTTTTAATTCGCCATTTCTTTGTCGCGTCCGTTTGGACGTGTTTAAGCGAGCGCTAATCCAAACGCGACTTGCTTTTGTGGAGTCGGGCACCAGTCAAAAACATAATCCGTGACGTCCAAAAAGCGCCTTAACGTCGACGTTATTGCGAATAATATTTATTTATTTATCTACTCTCTGAGCGTTGTATTGTGGGCTGTGACAGACAAAACTTACATTCTATTTTAAGTTAATAACCTATATTTTTCGTTTTACCGTTTACTAGTTAAAACACCTGTACTATAAAAAACTAAAAAAAATTATTTTCTTTTATTAAAATACACACACACACACACACATAATAACACGTATTATACTAAACAGAGATGGGCAAATTTTAAATAAATAGCTACAAGCGATTTTTTTTTTATCTTTAAAAAACTATTTTATATTAAAGAATAAAAAACGGGCAATACGATCTCGTCGCCGCGAAAGTGTCGATGTACAGTTTTTGAAAAATATACGGCAATAAAGGCTAACTTTATTTAAGTTATATACATAAAACATTAACATTGACATTATAAACATTATTTTAAAATATTTACAATTTTCTAATGTAATTAAGTAAAATTGAATTGTTGCTTTTTCATAAAAAAAATTGCAATCGTATTTGTCTTGTTCATTTACAATTATCTCACTTGACCCCAACTATAAAAACACGCGTCGTGTACAAATTGTAATATGAACAGAATTCTCGTTAAATCTTCCTCTCGCTGTTTCGCGTTAAATTGAACTTTATTAAAAAAAGACATTTTGCTAACGCAATATAATATTGTTTCCAAACTTGCTTATTACCACTTGCTGGGAAAGCAATGATTCATTATTTATGAAGAGAAAAAAAATAGTTTTAAACGGTAAGATCTTTAATTCAATGCAATATTTTTACAGCTTTGATAAAATTATGACAAAACAACTTTTTCTGAGTTCTACTTAATTTTAACGTCGATCTATGTTGTGTCAAATACAAATTACAACAAAACGATTTTAGTTATATTATGTAATAGACCAGAAAAAGTATTTTATCCTGTCGTTTCACAGGCTTTATAAATTATGTAACACAATTACATCTTATTTGTTCAATTGGAAAATTCTAAAATAAACCATTTAATTAAAAAATTAAAAATTACAATTTATGCTTTTCAAGAGTGGTTTCGAAAGACGTGCCTGTAGTTTGGTTTATAGTAAACTAACTATTGTAGTATTTTTTATTATTTCTACACTATTCTATAATTAATAGTGCTTAGTTGATGATGAAAAGTCCTCGTGTTTTCTTGCGAAAAATATTGCAGTTAATTTTCGATTTTAATATTAGAACACGATTTTGACGCCATGTTAGTTTCTCATTTGAACAAATTTTTATAATGACCTGAAAAACCTACATATTTATTTAAATACCTACATGTTATGCCGGAATTTAAGTATTCAGTGTAAATAACTAAATATGAAAACGCTTTTATGTGCCGTACATTGTACGCACGTTGAAGCAATAATAAAAATTCAATAAATGGTTTTTTTTTCTACCATTTGTAATATGTACAATCCTATGTACTTTTTGACATTCCGTAATACCGTATCGAATTGGTGGCGTGCAATTTCGTTGTTGTCGGGGTTTAAAATGATATCCCCCGGGAGCCGACAAAAATAAAAAATTACATTTCTGTAACATAATATCGTTTCTGATCGGTTCGCATTTCAAATCCAATCCTATAGGCTGCTCCAATCCTGGGTGGCTATTATTGTGATATGGTGACGGTGCACGATAAGTGATCACGGCCGTTCTTAAGGTATCGGTTTGCGATTCTGGGTGGATGTGTGTGTGTGTGTGTGTGAATTATATCGTTTTAAGATCATAATGTATTTGCCTTGAAACTCCTGTAGGCGCGAGGAACACCGTAAAAAGCATATTATATTATTAACTTATTTTAATTAACTTAGGTTAATTAAGCACCTAGCATAGCGTGTCGGTAATTTGACTTTAGATTGTATTTGGATTTGTAAATTGATTTTAACTCGATTCCGCTGGACCTTTAGAACGGAAGCAAAACCATTTCGACTGATTCTGCCGCGTGATTCAATAAAAAGCTTTGTTCATAGAAAAAAATCGGCTGTCAATAAAGAGGGTCATGAATTCAACCCGAGAAAATTGATTTCCTTCAGAGTACGGTGTGCACGAGGTCAAATTTTCCAAGTCCAATTATTACGGACACCTCTCTATGTATGTATATTATACTGTTTGTGACCCAAAGTTATTTATACAACGATCTGTCTGGGTCTGTTGTACATGATACATCATATCCACACATGGTGCGTCCGACCTTGGTCCTTGAACTAGAGACCGGTGTCTATAAGTATAGTATCTATAACACAAAAAATTATTATCTACATATCAATAATATTGAAACTCGTCCAATTGTCCAATGTTGTTTTAATAGAGTAATGAGTTTAAAATGTAATTTAAATATTGTTAAACAAAATAAACTTTTACTGTTACCAAAACTATTATTAAATTACTATACAATTATTAAGGTAATTTGTAGTGTATACAAAAACCAACTACCTACAAAATATAGCTAACATGTATAGTAATGATGAATATAATAATATATATAATATATAGTAAAAATATTACAATATGCTTTAACTTTATTCGACGGTAAAGAATAAATAAACCTTTTTTAAAAAACCTTAATCACAAAAAATAATACATTGTAGCGTTTTTCAGTAGCCATCGTCAGCACTTACAATCGACTGAGGCCGATTACTGGCAAACGACCTCTGGTTACACGTATACATATAAAAGTCATTCCGGAAGTGATGACTTTTCGTCAACAAGTGTTTTTACGAATTTAAGTAAAATGTTTTAATTTAATGAACGTTGACGATAAGGCATCACGCGCGGAAAAAAATGTCTTCAAGTATTTAGTGGCAATTCGTTCGTTTGTTAGTATTTATAAAATTAATCGTGGAGTCCATTAATATGACTATAAAAACGTAAAATGCTCCACTATGATTTTTAACCGATTTAAAACGCAGTCAATATTGATATACTTGGAAGAATTATTAACTGTTTCCCCGGATATTATGCAACGTTCTAATTTTGACGGAAATAAAAACGTACCTAGTACATCCGTCATTCTGGCGGGATGTGTATAATTTTATAATAATATTATGTATTACTCGGCGAGTTGAACGAATTTTTCTGTTTGTTGAATTTAGGTTACGAAGTGTCTCGAGTGGTATGTCAGAACAGAGACACGGGCGTCGAAGTGGATGCTGATTTGTGTCCGGGCGAGCGGCCAACCAGCAGCGATTTATCCGTCGAGTGTAACAGCCGTCCTTGTCCTCCCAAGTAAGTCAACGCAAAAACCAGAGTTAAGTCGCACGCACATTTCATTATATACGTATAAAGATTATAAATTATATTGTGTGTTTTCTCATCCGGCTAGTCGGTCGAGACATGTTTTTCGCATTAAAATATGTGCAACCCCTTTTAGGATTCGACCGCGTGGAACGGATAAAAATTACAAAAAAAAAAAAAAAAAAACTCCGAAATCATGACGAGTCTAAGAGGTTTGTGAAAGCGTCGGTCCGGTCCACGTTAGCTCTAGACGGAAGAAAGGCTTGGCTTTTATACGATCTGTACCGTTAAATCCCGATTAACCGAAATGGTCGCTGAGAACGGTGTGATACTTTAAAAAACTTCCAATGGGTGCAGTCACTATATGGTTCTAAAGGGTGTCTCGCGCTATCGTGACAGATTTACACTTCATTGAAATCGTCGAAACAACATGCGAGACACCCTGTATAGCACGGCGTAGACGAAGATCTTATTAAAACCGAACATTACCGACCGCCACTCGTTGACACATAAGACATAATATTGTCATACTATGTGATTTAAGGGATTGCAGAAAACGATTTAGCTAATCGCCTTCTATAAATGGGGATTAAGGATTAGGCACTAATTTTTTTCGGAAAATAATTGCAATTTTATCATTTTTCTTTTTGGAAACACTTATTATACAATATACAACAATATTCAAATTTTTATCTTTTATAATTTTTCCCAAAGCTCTATCAACTTATAAAACTTAAGTGGTAACATGTACCTATACGTTTAATTAAATCTCTAAATTAAAAATAATTTGCTAAGAATTTTCGCTGGTCGAAAAACCAAGTTTTGATAATTACTTTGAAAGCTATTTAAGGTTAAAACTTAGCACGGGATGAAGAAGTTAGATTAGGTTCGGCGGGAAATAATTAAATAATATTGTTTAAAACATGTTGTTTTAAATAATATGAAAATATTTCCATTGTTCTGCTTATATTTTATTATAAAATTGAGTTATTGTTTTTAAATATTTCTTGCCAAAACATTATTTCGAATTATTAATAAAATATGTTTTGATATCATTTTAAAAATCATCAATATTGTGTTGCTGTAAAAGCGCAATTACATTACAATTTTATATCGCTGTCATTTATTTAATATTCAGTAAGTATATATAATTTTCAAGTTTTTTAATAAGCGTTGTTTTTAAAGTGACTGCCTTAAGAGGCCGTTACTTCGAAAAAAATTGATTTGCCAGGGACAAGAATGTGAGGGTGGTATTTACTTTTACCGTATAACATGTTTACAATGGATAGAGAATAACTTAAAGAATCTACGCTGTAGCGTTTTTAGTTTTTTGATAACTTAAATACAATCAAAACTATTCATTCGTGAAGATTAATTTTTGTTTCCTTTGATCATAAAACAAATATTAAGTAAAGATATTAAAAAAATTAAAACGCTACCCCAGAGATAAAGTTATTTTATATAAGTTGTGAAAAAATGATAAATCCACTGTCAATACTGGTCTCACATACTTGTCCCGCGCAAAGCAGTTTTGATGGGAAACCCCAAATTTAGCTTATAGAAATTACTGTGATAGTTTGTCAAAAAAAAAAAAAATGGTAATCAATAAAGTATTCTAATTACTGTATTAAGTATACATCATAGTTCAAACTCTAAATTAAGGCTTTGCGAAAAATTGTCCATACTACACTCTTTGGAAATGGACGGAGTAGCGTCCTCTTATGTCCGGAATTCTAGAAATCCATTCAATTAATAATTGTGTATTCTTATATTGTGAACCAACAATTTTCTTTCCCTTAAAAAAATATTTGGGTTCGAATATTTTCCCAGTTATAATATTCAAATTATAAAAATAACTAACAAATACCATACTGGGGTAACCATTTGATTGTTTCGTCTGATGTTAGTGAAAAGTTCATGACGTTGACACCAGTTGTTTACTTGAGTTTAATTAAGTCAAAACTTGTCACCTCGGCGTCTCCAAGTTAAATTTGTGTCGCGTGTGAGTTAATATGTTTAGTCGTATTTGATTTTAGATAAACGTTATAATGTCGTATTAATTATTATTACATTTAGTAACAGTACACATAGATGATTAAATTTATATTAATTAAAACTGTGTTTCTATTCTACGTTAATGATTACCCGCAATGTTTAGAATTTTATCGATGGTCATATTTTTTCTGTAGTCGTAGGTTTGAGTAAATAACAAAAAACAAATTATTTATTTGAAATATATACGCGTTAATCTCCTAGATTACTTCTTGAACAATGTTGAAGTCAAACGTGTTTTGACTGTGTGTAATTTTTAAGAAATTCGGCGAGGCCTTGTTCCGACAATTTCCTATGAGATTCTTTAAGCCGCAACTCGTTATCCTTAGTGAAGACGTCCAAGTTGGCCGACAACATCAACGAAGACATGCACGATTCGACTATCTCGGCTTCTTCCATGGCCTGAAAAAAAAATTGGAAAAATATGTTTTTTTTAATTTTATTATTCGATAAGAATCCAACTCGACCTTGATCGCAATACGTTAAAGCCAGGGCGTATTCGAGGCGATCATTAATCTTTCTTAAGCCGGAATACAGGAACGGTAGTATTTCATTACTATTATTGTTATTACCTATTATATTTAATGTTATTATTGGTATTGCGCAACGGTAGTGGAAATCAATACCAGCTACCACGACGCTCTATACAATGACCTGTCCAGCAGTGCATACCTATAAATGTCAATCTACAAAAATAATCATTAACTTCGAATTTTGTAACTGAAGCTATACTGTCCAAACATAACCGAATTAGACGTACCGCTTGATTAATTGTTTTTAGTAAAAAAAAAGTTTGAAAATAATATTACACAATAATATAATATATTATATCGAGAAGGACCGATAAAAGTGATATTTTCCAATAGATTGGTTTAGTCAAGATTTATGAATGAAATACTTATATAAATATAAAAATATATAATGGAGTTCTAAAAGCATTTTAAACAAAATTATGAAAGTGGTTTTTCAAAATAAGTTTGTTCGAGTTCCTCGTTCTAGTAAGGACGTAAGCATTGATATAATTTATACTGTTTTATGGCCTTAAAACATTTGTCGCTTTTTTGCTTTATAGTTGAATAATTACATTAAAAAAAAAGAGAGTGAGAGAGAGAAACAAGATTTTTTATAAAACTTAAGCAGCATTTTAGAAAATTATTTGAGAACATTATCCATGCAATTCGCAATACCATAATATAACTTACAGGAATGCACTGAAGAATGTCTTAAGTATATGTAATTAGAAGTAAACAAAATACTTTTCGTTGATATTTAGTAGGAGGTAAATAATTCGCCGTGTGTGTTGAGCAAGTTGTAAACAGATTATATAAATAAAGCTTAGGATCAGTTATACAAGATAACGGCAGAATTGAAGAAATTGTGGGATTACAATAAAAAATTGTTGAAAGTGGTCAGTGGTGGAAAGAGGTTACCCCGCTTATGTGTAATGTAGGATTTGGCGGTGAAGAAGTGGAGACATTTTCGTGTACGTTATATTTTGCATTCTATTTTATTCAGTGAAGTGAACAAAATACGGCATTAAAAAATCGGTATGTTCACTGCAATAATAGGTACACTTGTGACGTCTAACATGTAAATACAGCTTCGATCAGCTAGATTTCTCGGTGTGTGATGTATGCCATGAGCAAACAGCTTTAAGCTCGTTTACGTGAGGGTATAATAAAATAAAAAAGCCAAAACTGTCTACAGTGTTAGATATTTACAAGGTTGTTCGCAAAAGCCAAAAAGTTTGCCCATTTGTCAGCCTACGCCAAATCGACATTGTGTACAGCGGCCGAGAAGAGCGACTATCCAGAAAATGTCATGTAACATGACTCTTGTTACTGTTTTGTCTCATTTGCCGCACATATAAATCATAATATATTATTACAATACTGCGTTGGCGACATAACTATTGTTTCCCGTTACAATAATAATAACATAGTGATGATAATTTTATATAACGTCAATCAGTATTGTAACATTATCTTATCTCCATTTAGAGACTTTTCGCGGTGTACGGACTTCCGACTTGCCCTTTCAGACGCCACCAACGTTTTAAGTGCCGTGCGTGTCCATTGTAAGACGGAATGAGCGATAAAACGTCTAAACGGTTTCGATAAAGTCTTTATTATCGCGAAACAATAGATTCGGACGGTGGTCTCAAATGTATTTCCAAAAGCAAACCCACGCCAAATAATGGTTACACACACACACCACACACGAAAGAGAAATAGATTTAATTGAAATTTTCATCGACCGAAAAGAACGCCCCGAGTAAACAACGAGAACAAATTCAATGATGCCATTATAATGTTGCTGTATGCACTTACTTAAAGTGACAAAACATTTATGTTTTACTATAATAACTGGGACCGACGTGACGGCGTTGGGATTTTCGAAAATCATTCAAAAGCTCCTATAAAAATTAGGTGAAAAAAAATAAATCTTAGCTTGTTATCTACTCGAATTATGTCTAAAATTCCCTAACACCACTCCAGCAAACATTTGGTTTGCAGACCAAACGGTGGGTTAAGTTAGGTAAATTAATGATAATCACAAATAACAACAGCTTGCTATTTAATTCTACACTTTAATAACGTATTATATATACATGATTTAAGCCGAAGCACATTTACTATTATTTTTTCCGGATAAAAACAGTATAATTTATAAAACCTATAAACCTGTCTACATGTTGCACAGATATATTATGTCTGTATACTACTCTTGTTCATTTATAGAATTTCCTCGGTCTTCTGCTCGTAGACGATAATGGTTTATTGATTTTAATGTAAAAAGAAATTTCCGATGGAAAAAAAGTTCACTCAATATTTTAAAATGATGATTTCAATAGTTGCCTGGTAAAATTTAAGATATGTGTTCACATTCGTTCCGGAGTATGCCAGTTGGAATTTCAGATATGAAACATTTAACGACAAAAAAAACATGTTGTCAAAAAAATGACAAATTACACCACGCGTCAGTTATGGTTTAGTGTCACTAAGAAAAAAAGGCTGATGGTAACATTATTAACAACGTCATTGTATAATGATGTTGACATCAGTCATAACCAACAATAAAAGCCCTATCACACACAAAAAGTGTGATAGAATATTTTTCGATAGCAAATAATTTTATTGCGTTAATGGTTTTTGGCAAAAAAACATAACATAAAAATTAGTTTAAAATTTGGGGTCTAGTGATAACGACAGGGAAAAAAACTTTCCGACATCGATTTAATTCCGGAAAAGTTTTTCCTCGCCGGTCGTTAAGTTTTCGTTTACAATTTAGACATTACCGCTTACAGTAATGTCAACAGGGTTTGCGTTTCAACTTGATTCTCCGAATACTTTTAAACAGCGACAAATACCTAGGTACGATTATTTAAATCCAATGTTTTTTTTTTTCAGATACAGTTCATTCAGACCTTGACCTCTTGAATATATTATAACAGATATACCTAATGGTTACGGCCGATACGGCGCAATCTTAAAGCTTTCTTCTGATAATCAATGGGTTATAGTTTGTGTATTTTCGGACGGTTCCATGTTGTCATTAGTTAGGTGACGTTTCCAGTCCATTGCGGGGTCTACTTTGGGAGAAATAGTCAGCAATCAACTGTCGACACTATGCACAATGGAACGAAGATTGACCCTGAAATGGGTTTGAAACATCAGCTAACTAACGACAACATGGACTGATGCGAAAATGACCAAACCAATAGCTAACTAATAGTTCAATCCACGACGGTTTTAATAATCGAAGGGTTACTGACATAATTGTTGTACATCTATGTATGTATATCATCTGTAATTACCTGGTGTTTGTCCCTGAGTTTTAAATGAGCCGCCTTGGCTCTCTCGGTCCACTTGGCGACTTCCCGTTGGCCTCGTTCCAACTCGAAAGCGCATTTTTGAGCCCTGGCGTTTGCTTTGTCCAACTGCTCCTTGTATTCGGCCATCAGTGCCGCCGACCTTTGCCGATTATAAGTGTAAGCTTCGATGGCAGCCCACATTCGGTGGAGTTCGTCGGCCATCGACTTGTACTCCGTCCGCTTGTCTTTTGTTTGGAAACACTCAGAACTGTTGGTCACCGCTTCGACATGAGTTTGTTTGGGGTCGGTAGACCGTGTCAACGGAGCAGCCAACGTCGTCATTGCCGTCAGTGTTAACAATACATTGACACTAGTGAAAATCCACATGAGAAAATAATTCAAAACGCCCAATCGTCCGTCATCATTGGGTTGCTCGCGGTTACCGTAGCTTAGCGAAACGTTCAGTTTCTATACCAACAGAGTTATCTGCGAGCCCGCGCGCAAAAGAAAATTTATAAAATCAAACATCAAATAATTATAATACAAAGCTGTGTTTGGTTATAAGTAAAAAAATTACATTCGAAATAATACTTTTAATTCATAATAAAAATAAAGTACCAAATACAAATAAAACCGTAAATGGTTTAACAAAACTTAATTAATATGTATAAACGTACAAATTTGAAAGCAAAAGACACATGTTTAAGAAGTTGTTTATACCTACGTACTAAATACAAATTAAACTTGTTTTAAACATTTTTAAAAATTATTTACTATTAAAATAAAAAATTTTAATCACTTATATATGGATGAAAAGTATATTGTATTTTTCTACTAACATCTCTTCCTTATAAAGTGACTGACTAATTAAGTTAGTATACATATAACTACGCGAGTATAGTCCAATTGCAGTGTCCTTAATTTAAGCGGTTAACGATATCATAATACCAATAGAGAATAATATATATGTATTGTAATATATTATTATACCCAAATGTTAATAGAGCAACCGTTTTGCATACCAACAATTATTGGAAAACCTTCATCGCCGAGGTATTTAATTTTAAGCGTTAAGAAGCGAAGCCATTTTTTCATATTCGAGCAATCTACGGTACTTCCACCATTAAGAGTAGACGCTGTTAAGCAGGGACTTTTTTTTATGCTAGGTCCTTTTTATTTATAATAGTTTTTTTTTACATCAGTTTTGACCAAACGCGAAATTGGTTTCCAATTTGTTTCAAAAGTATACAAAAATAAGTCGATAAATAAAAAAAAACAGTACGTACAACGGCTTGTTATCAAAAATATTTATTTGGCAAAAATAAATAACAGTTTTTTTTTTGTTCTTGTAAAATGTTACAACGAGCTCAAGCCATTACCTTTCACCTATACGTGCTTTATGTTCTAAATCAAGATACATTATACTCTAAGGCTTATTATGGTATAAGGCTTTTATAGCTGTAAAACACAATATGTCCTATTTTGCCATGTGTTCAAGTTTTTTAACGGCTGAAAAACAACGGTTTTTAAAAACAAAGTTGTATGCCTTTGCACAACATATTTTTATTGATTTACAATATATTATAATTGAAACACTTACTGATCGCGGTCGTCGACTAAGGCGTTGTTATCATGTTAAAAATATAAAACATTATTTAATCATATTTTCCAAGAAATTGATATCCTTCGATATCCTTCGGCTTACAGCTTAAACGCTTTTCGTTTACGCGAAAGATATCCTAAGCCACTCTCTTTTTTTTCTCTTAACGAAAACGTAATACTAAGTTAAATTCGATTTTTCACTACTCTACAATGTTTACATTAAAGTTAAGAAAAATAGGATGCTGACGTTTGTAAAAATATTTTTCAATAATACTACAATTGCGCGTTTTTTTTTATGCTTGACACAGTTTTTACTGAATTTAAAGTATTGTACAATTCTTCTTTTAGCTTAAACAAACTATTATTATTATATTTTTTTTCAAAAGACGCATACAATTCTAGCGCAAAAAAAAAGTAACTACATGGCAAACAGTTAAAATTATTCGTTCAATTTTTAGACATAAAACTCAGAAAGCCGGTGGTTAATTTTTTTACCGAGGGTCTTCACTCGTTAAGCCACTATTGTACGTTATTTTATGAGACTCACGAGTCTGATGATAAAATATTATTTTACATTTTGTCGTTGCTAAAAATTGTATTTCACTCTTAGATCTACATTCAACCGCCGGACGACGAACCGGCGTAGATAATTTTTTATTCATCGCTTAATTTTCAATGTTTTTTTTTTCGCTTAGGTGGGTTGCCGACGACAATTGGAGTCCTTGCAGCAAAACGTGTGGAGGTGGAATAAGAGTCCGACACGTCTATTGCGTGGAAGAAACTAATGGTACCAGGACGAAAGTAAGTTCGGCAAAGTACTCAAGTTAAAACTAAAATTATGGTACAACAGCGAACCGTCTAGAATCAAAGTCCCAAATAATAAAGTGTGTTTTAAATAGAACACATTACAGTTTTGTGTGGAAGGTGTCAAAGTTGATTGTCTATGCGAATGCTATTTTTGACACCTTCCTACAACAAATGCGAGACTACCACAGTTAAATAGGTATCTACAAATAATTGTATTAGTTTTAAGGTAGGTCATCCGTCAAAGGATAGATGACACATTGGACAGCGGTGCCTCTCTGACTAACCATTTACCATTTAACCTAATATGTATCTGGCTAGCGGTAGGCGACTATTGACTGAAGTAAATGCGTTTAGGATGTAGGTTTAGACTAGAGGGTAGGTTTTTTTTAATACAAAAGAAAATTATAGTAATCGAGAGTTGAGTAACAATAAAAAAGCAAATAATAAAAAAAAACAATTAAATATAAACATGAAAAACACGTTTAAAGTATAACGACCGGGTTATTTATCGATGACAAGTGCTGAGCATTAAATAAAAAAATAAATCCAATGTTCTATTGCCGACTAAAACCTATTAGACTTTTTGGATCTGCGGCTTCACTCATTTATCTTTTCTATACTAAAATACAGTCATGGTTCCGGCCAAAGCAATTCTCCAAAGATACATTCAGAGCCATAGATAAATTCATGATATCGCTTATCACAGATGAAATCAATTAGAAATTCTAACATTCTTAAGTTTTTTTAATTTTAATGTATAAGTTTTACTAAATAAATATTTGGCATTTAGTACCTAATATTTGTCTATTTCGAATCTTGGATATTTTTCAATAAAAAAAACCCGTATATTTCCATTTTATTTCAGACCGGCCTAAAGTAGGGCGTAGGCGTCAATAGACTGAATACTTAATTGACTGCGACATTTTAATATGGCCGGTAACATCTTCAGTGCGAATAACTCGACAGTTCGTACGGTTTAAACTTTAAATGCATCCTATAGTCGAAAAAGCTATATTATTTATTATATTATAGAGGTAATCATTATTAAGTAGTGAATCGGAGCCGATGCGAACACGGAAGGTGTACCCACCTACGACCATTAGCCAATGTTTTCAAAAATCGTACGACCGGTGCGGTAGTCCGGCCAAAATTTTTATAGGCACGCTCCCACGGCGGTCGTTAACGAATTGATGGCGCTGATAGCCCGGCCACTGCGATGAATGGTTTTTTGCTAAGTAAGCGTTGCTCTACTTTCTTAATGGTCTGTATGTATAGTGAAAAATCCCAATTTTTCAGCGCGTCTATAGCCGGTGTATAGGTAAACGATAATACACTACTATACAAAGCGATTCACAGCACTTAGCGGGGACTGTTGTATAATATACGTCTTGCACCACGTTAGACAGTTTAAAACTTAACAAGACTTTATTTTGCGAGAATATTGTGATGAAGTATATTCAACATGTATTTATTGATAGCTTGTGTGCATCAATCAATAAAATTGTATGGCATCGCTAAAATATAAATCCATATTCACGTTAAAGTCGTAATCTTCTATAACAGTGGTTCTCGTTACACACCATGTTACTAAAAATATATATATATATATATAAATTACTTAAATTAATTTGTATTACTCATATTTTTATCGCCATCTTATTTTCACAATAAAAAAAAAACGTTTGATTGACTGACCTAAGAGTTATTTTGTACAATTTTATCATTGTTCTCTCGGCGTAAAATTATAGGTATTCTGTATGCTACTTATACGTTAAAAATTCGAGTATTAAATTATATTCATAATGGCAATGGTTGAGATTTGATGATAGCACAGTGGTTGTTAGTATAGGTATGTTAAGCTGTTGATGTTGGTAAAATTTAGACTTAAATATCTAATTTATTTATTTTTCTTTGTAATTTCTCTAGTAGACGGGTTTTGGGTCTAAGTCAGTCCTCATTCAGTTATGTGTAAAATAAGTAAAACAATCAAATGTAAAGAACATGTAATACACAAAAACTTTATTCGCAGAGAAATTTTAATACAACTACAATTATTATTATAATTACCAAATTTCAATACACTCGTGTAACGTCACTAAAATAGTTACCGCGTTCACACGCAGTCGTTAATTCACATTAGAATTAATTGGGTAGTATACACAATATTATTAATCTTGGAATTAGATTTAATACTAATATGCGTTCATAATGTGTTTATATGCACTCGAATCGCATTAAGCTAACGTGAATTAATAACTGCGTGTAAACGTGTTAACTGTTTTAGTGACGTTACAAGACGTGGATTGAAAAAACGTTATTTATTTACAAGAAAGTTTTAAAATAAAACTGTTGTTTTTGCACAATACAAATAAACGGACCTGGTCAAACTATATATATATTTTTTTGTAACGTTTAAACATAATCGATTGTTACTACTAACTTTTTTTTTTAACTTGTAAAGCACTTGTACTAAAGTTCCATGTTGTTAATTTTAAAAGGAAGACTCAATAACTATATCACTTGCCTTTTTTTTTATTAAATACTTGGGCATAGGTCTTAAAACAATCTACAGACAGTCAATTTGCGGTATTACTGGCTTTGAACCTAATAATATGTACGGCAATAATAAATATTTACAGGTTCGAAACCGTTAAGTTTATCAACAGCTCTCGTCGTCGTTAATGACTTCCCGGAATTGTTTCTCAGCTGGTACTCGAATAAAAATTATCAGACTACCGCATTACGGTTAAGCTTGGGCACAGTACAGTACTATAAATTATTATTATACACACAATATACCACATATGTATAAAACGTACCCGTACAATGTTACCGCACCGTCCGGGAAGAGGGTTGCCTTTCCGCGGTGGCTATTAATTAGAAATATTGCCTTGTTGTGTAATTTGTCGATAATCATATTTACAAACAACTCGAAACTTTTCCAACAGACACACAATTATAATAATAATGTTGATTGATAATAATATTATTATGTACCTATCCCTTCGCCACTCGAGTAGGTACCGCCACGGCGATCAATTAATTCAAATTGCTTCTTCGCCGTCGCCATTGTTCTGAAAAAGCCGCGGGGTGGTTTTTTTTAACTAACGTTAAATTCGACATCACTCTTCAACTTCATGCCACACTTATAATGTACGTAGGTACTGATCGATTGTATTTGTATTAATATAGCTGTTAACGTTTGATTCGCTAAGTTGTTTAAAAAAAATTCCCATTAGTACCTCTCGATATCCTTTTTTTTTTTAATTTTCAAGCCTTTAACTCAAAAAACCTTTAACCACGCTATATTTCGTTGCGAAATATAAAGACCAAATACTCGACCTATATTTCATTATGGAGTAGGTTGATGAATAATTTAACTTTTAAATATATAGTTAGCATTTTAATACTGATCAACTTGTTAAGAAAACTGATTTAAAATGAACTAGCCGTTATTTTCATTACTTCAATAAAAACTAAAAAAAAAAAAATGATATAAACGGTTATAAAATTATAAAACTAGTTATGGGCAGCGGCCAGAGGATTGGATTTGATACTGGTTAAGGTTTACAATTTAATAATATTATACTTAAAATATTTTTAATAAGTTAGATCTAAATAATTTACTAAGTGTATTGAAAGCAGTCGGTTTTTTTGACGTTAAGACCAAAGCCTGTCAGAATTTCAACTACTTAAAATAGTTAGATTTCAAATCTGTAAAGAAATATGAGTTCTTTGGATACTTTTTAAAAAAATTTCGGAAACATACTTTTGCTTTTTTTGAATGTAAAAACATTGTTTTTTGTTATTAAAAAAATGTTCAAACTTAATTTGTTTAATTACAGGAAACTAAATTTTCAAAATAAATTCGGCAAAGAACTTGAAATTCTTTACAGAATGGAAGTCTGATCATTCTTAGTAGGCGTAATTTTGTCAGGCAACAATAAGATCTTGCTGCTTATGGAAATTGACCGACAAATGAATGGACTTGGTCAAACAACAATTTTTCGTTTAAATATGGCCTATATATAACTTATATTACAAATATACAAATCTTATTCTAAATATACTTATTATAAGTGATGATTGATGACATTCGGCCGGTTAGATTTGTCTTGCCTTAACTATTAGTGGTCGGTGCGGGTACAGAGAAGTTCTCGTGGGGTTTAGGACCGAAATGGATTAAGTGCAAATCGCCCGAACTTTCGGCTGCATTTGAGTAGCGGACTGATAAATACATAAACGCCACTCACGTGTCCTCACATGTCTATACGTCGAAGACAAATCGCCGGCTGCGAGTTTTATCGAAATTGAATTAAAGTTAAAATAACATTATAAATCACACGGTGCCGACGCAAACCTATCATATTATACGAGTGCACGTGTGATGCGGATTCACTAACGACCCGAAGTCACGTTATGTTTTATAGGTAATTCGATAGGTGGAAAAAAAATAACCCATAAACGTCGAATCGGATGTGAGTGTGTTTCATCGATGAATGTAAGCTGATGTACAACTTGAGTACCCGACTCGGGAGTGAAATCTCGCGGGACACGACGGTAATAATAATTATTAGTGTTGACCTATACATTATAATATTATACTATAGTACAACACACGATGGGCTTCTAGTCGAACGTTTTAATACGCGTACGGGCACTTGTTTGCCGAGTAAAATCGCACTTGACCGGATCAAAACGCTAAAAAAATGGTTTATCCTTTCTTTCCACCCTCGGCCAAACGGTGTACACTTTACAACGGAAAAGGTAAAAGAAAAACAAAATCGTTTTACCCGCAAAACACACTTCGGGGAATTGTAGCTGTCGGCGCGATTCGTTAATTTAGAATAATATTATTAAGGTCGATACAATACAGGCCCTAAACGGTTTAAAGTGGAAATGGCGGTTATTGCGCGACTTCTCTATATTCCCCGAGTACCTACGATACGGTTATACCTACCTACTGTCGTGTCTGTCTGATACGTGGGCACTAT